CTCTTCAAAGGGAATAGGCTTCTTTTACCTGTTTTTGTTAATGAAATGGAAAGGAGGAAAGCGATGGTTCTAGATAAGTAAAAGGCCTCTGTTGAAGCTCGGGACTGGGGGTGAGGGGAATAAAAACAAAATGGAATCTAAGATAGTTTGCCCCACTATAATTTCTCTGGTTCTTCATTCTTATCATGTTCAAAATTGCTCCCTACACTTTTCTGTACAAATGTGGCCTATTTGCTGTACAGATATTTTATTTTTTATTCTCTTTGCTAATGTTCCTTATATGCACAGATCAAGCTTCACACCTTCTCACACTCACGTTGCTTCTTTTGGCATGTGCTCTGTTTGGCTGCCGTATGTAACTAAACTTGCAACATTTCCAGACCCAGTTTAAAGTCTGAATTATATTCTTCCCTACACTTTGTGTTTTTGCATCTTTGCAACTTGGCATAACTTCTTTCCATTAGAAACTGATTGATCTTCTTCTTATTTTTTTCTTTAGTTAATTTCAAAGAAGCATTGCCTCTACTTTTATCGCTTTTGGCCCAACTCTGAGTTCAGAGAACATAAAAATGTAGCAGTGTATCAGAAAAATGTCTTTGTAGTACTGTGGGTGCAATCCTAATAGACAGGTGAGTGTGTTCATAGGTCAACTGGATTAGATCAGAAAGTATTCATTTTTCAGCTGACTTTTTGTGGTTGAACCTTCCTCTGCTAAGGAAAGATACTGTATCAAGTGACCTTTTACTCATATAAGAATGAAGGTTTGTCAAATGTGAGATCTGATTTATATTGTAATTCATAGAAGTATTATAGTTGGAGATATTGTTCCAAAACTAAAGTCATGCTTCCTAATTTATCTGATGACTCTTTACAGACACAGGAAACTATTCCATAATAATTTATATTGACCACCAAGTCACACATAGACAAGTGCTTATACAATTGTTCCAGATTGAACCTTCTTTCTTCTGCTGGATACCTCCATTTTCTTCTTTTCCTTTTTCTTTTTTCTTTTTATTATACTTTAAGTTCTGGGGTACATGTGTGGAACGTGCAGGTTTGTTACATAGGTATACACGTGCCATGGTGGTTTGCTGCATCCATCACCCTATCATCTACATTAAGTATTTCTCCTAATGCTATCCCTCCCCTAGCCCCCATCCCCTGACAGGCCCCAGTGTGTGATGTTTCCCTTCCTATGTCCATGTGTTCTCATTGCTCAACACTTACTTATGAGTGAGATCATGCGGACAGCTCCATTTTCTAAGATCTAGGTCAAGTTTTACTCCCTTTACAAATCCTTCTCTGATTATACCCACATTGATCTTAAGGCATTAATTGTCTTTCTTACTTTACCTCTTAATTGTATATTCTTAAGTAGCTTGGAATGCTCTTCCTTCTTTCCATTGCCTGACAAACACATACTTGTTATTCAGGTCTCATGGAGAACATCACCTCCTCTTTGAAGTCATCCCTGACCACTCTCGCCCAAGAGAGCAGGTATTCCCTTGACACTGTTCCCATAGCATCACCTGGTGGGAGAATATAGAAGTATCCCTCCATTTGATAACGTACCTCTATCTACCTTCTCTCTCTCCCATGGCAGAGTGAGTTCCTCTCCAGCAAGAGGTTGATCATGTTCAATTCTGTCTCACTATTACCTATCCCTGTCTGGAAAATTAAAGAAGCTCATTATATATTTGTGCTTTTAAAATTCAACATATATTTGAGATTAATAAATAAATGAACACAAAGAATAAACAAATGAACATGTAAAGGAATGGATTATTGCAATTTATATGTATCAAGTAATGACAGACGCATATAAATTAGTTCATTATATGTATCAATACGTCAAGTATGTGCATGAATTAATCATTATGTATATCAATGTAAAAGTATCAAATTAATTACTCATACATATCAATTAATGGTTATATACGTATTTATTCTTTGCTGAATCAGTAGAAAAAAATGAGAACATAAAATACGTGAGCTCTTCTATTTAATCGAGGGAAGAGATTTTGTTTTATTCACATATGACATATTTTTACAAAGTGTTTTTATTAGAAATACAATTTACTCAACTTTAAGAAAGTTAGAATTTAGGGAAGAAAATAAGGAAGAAATTACCTGGAGAACAAACACCAATAAACCCAGTGTTTTAGCCATAGCACTTGTTATATTTTCTTTACATATTTTTCATGTAAAGAAGAAAATATAAGAATATAAGAATCAGGGTTTGTCAAATGTGAGATCTGATCTATATTGTAATTCACAGAAGTAGATATTCAATGTAGTTGTTGTCATGTCTTATACTCTTGCATGCTATCATTAGAATGGTTGGATGATACTCAATATAATAGAGGGTCACAGCTCAACCTATTGAAATCCACCAAATGAAGATTATAAAAACACAAATAAATGAAACAAAATGAGGTTTATTTCGCTTGCTGCTGCAAAGGAGAACACTCACTAGTGGAACCATGGAGGTTCCAGTAGGAGGATTTGGAGAAAGGCTTATAAAAGGATTTAGTCTCATCCAGGGTGATTCTAACAGGGCTCGAAGAGGAGGGGCCATTTATGACTTGGATGCTGTCAGAAAGCAGGGGCAATTTAGAGACTGGTTATATTGGCAATTACTCTCTAGAAGGTGGGAGGATCGAAACAACGCCGTGTTGTATTGGTAAATCAGCAGGCCACTAGTGTTAGTACAAAGAGAGGGCTGTTTAGTTGTTTTGTGGCTGCAGGATGTCCTTGTTGCTGACTCGTTTCAGGCACAGTCCCGAACACATCATGCTTAGGGCATCATTGCCATTTAGTGTCTGTTTTTTACAGCCTTCTCTTACTTCCCATTGCCAGGGCAAGTTTTCACTTTCTGAAACTACTTCTTATTGGATATTTAGCTTTTTTGTCGTATTTTCAATTTTGTGATGTAATGTCTTGAGCCCCATTGTAAATATAGTTTTCTTCTAAAACATAGAATCTCAAAGATGGCTATTAGTATCAAATATGTGGTCATTTTCCTTTGTTCTCCTTTATGGCCATATTTTCCTGACAAATTGCCCTGCATCACTATTAACAGTAATATATGATACCGTGCCTCCATCATTACTGTGAATTGTACATTTTAGAAATGGATTATTTTAATAGGTAAAGATGGAGTCTGATTTTTAACTTGAGTTTCTATAATTATTTGTGATGTTGATTTTTTTTTTTGCCTCTGCATTTACCCTTTGGAGTCTCTCTTTATGTTGTCTGTCAATTAGTCAGTTGGGGCCTTGTGTTTCTTATTCAATCCATGTTAACTCTTCAAGTAATTAAAAACACTTTTACAGTCTAGTAAAAATATGTTTTTTCCATACTAAAACTTTATGTAGTTCCGTAGGTCCATTTTTTTCCCTTTGTGCTTTCTACCATGCCTTTCTTATTTTCGTACATCCTTCCAATGGCCAAAACTAGATTCTACTAAGTTTAACTCTTTAATCCATCTGAAATTATTTAGGGGTATGGTGAGAAACGCAACTTAAAAGTATTAATGTGAAATATGTGATCAGATTCAGTTTCTCAACAACTACCTTATTCATTTTCTTATACTGAGTAGCATCTTTGGACAGATGAATATATTTGTTGATGCTGAAAGGAAATATTGGCTATTTTTGAAAATGGTGTTTGACTAGACAAAATATGCAGTAATTTCTTCAGGGCAGAAATGTCAACTATTGACAGAAATTACAAGGGATATTGTGAATAAATGAACGCTTAAAGAAGAAAGAAAGAAATGATAATGAGCATGCAGCAAAATGTTATGACAATATATTTGTGCTGCGTGATCTTCTATAAATTAAAATTTCAAAATGAGTGCATTTAAAATTTCAAAATGAGATAATTGTGTTTTGCTTTAAGTTGCTAAATTTGGGATGTTACTCAAGAATACTCATGTATTTTTTTTACCATTTTCCCAAATAAATTTGGTTGGAAGTTTATTTGAGAAACAAAGGCCACTTCCTGAAAGAAAATGTGTCAGTCAATAATGTTTGAGTCTGAATTTTTGTTGTATGTAATCTTGGTTTTAAGTCAGAGTGATAAAGTTCTATAAACTCAGTATAATCTTATAAATACCTATTGGAGGCTGGGTGCAGTGGCTCACACCTGTAATCCCAGCACTTTGGGAGGTAGAGGCGGGTGGATCACCTAAGTCAGGAGTTCGAGACCAGCTTGGCCAACCTAGTGATACCCCCATCTCTACTAAAAATATAAAAAATTAGGCCTGGTGGTGGGTGCCTGTTATCCCAGCTGGGGGGAGGCTAAGGCAGGAGAATCGCGTCAACTCAGGAAGTGGAGGTTGTCACTTCCTGAATGAGTGAGCTGAGATCATGCCTCTGCACTCCTGGGTGACAAGAGTGAGACTCCATCTCAAAAAACAAACAAAAATACCTATTGATGACAAAATCCATAGGTAAATGAGAATTTCTGAATGTTAATCTTTCAGTTCTACAGAATTTTCCAGATTGACTTATGAAATTAGGTGAATATTAATAAAACATTCATAAAATAACTTCAAATATATTCCTTTGTTCAGGTATTGTATACTAACTTTTATATCTGATTAGAGCTTTGAGGTAGGAAGGAAATGTACTCAATAATAAAATATATATTTTAAATGGTTGCTGTTTGAGTTTAAATATTTTAAGAATTCTCTGAGAATTGAGACTAGTAAATATTGAAGCCAAATGCCGTGAAGGATCTATACCAACACACATGTATATTTTATAAGTATAAATACGATTTCCTATATTAAACATATTTAACTGTAAAAGCTGGGATACTTTCAGAAATGTAAACAATTGCTTTTCTTTGTTCCAGACTCAACCTCACTAGGACTCTCGGCTCTGAATACGACATGCTTTCTTCATGTATGACAGTCTTACCGCATCAATCATGTCCTGCAGCCATTGTGTTGCTCGGTGCTCTCCCTGTAATTATTTTCCAGAGTACTTCATAAAACATTTTAATGCCACTATATGGAAACAGATATAAATTGATTTCATTTCCAAGGGCTTTTAAGAAATGTAGCTTTATTTTAGGTTGCAGCTAATTTTGAATTGTTCCTTTTAGCAGAAGCTTAAAACATAGTTTTTTTAAAAATTAAAGATCAGAGTTTCAATGTTGCAATCTAGGGAAAAATCACAGTGTAACAGTGAAGCATTTTCCCTTTTTCTTTTTCTTTACTTTTTTTTCTTTTTTTGGTCATGGATAGTGGGGAAATGCAATCAACACCAACACTCCCTCTGCCATATGCTTCAACTTTCATGTCTGTTTTGCCATCATCTATTCCATTAACATTATGATTAATGAAACCTCACTAGAATTTCAAATATATTGAAAAGTAGCCAATGACAGCTCTTTGGAGGCTACATTGAAAATAAATAACAATAAAAACAGGGCGACTTAGGCTTTTGAAGTCTTTAAAGAAACCATGACTATGATCTTTACTACTGCTGCAGAAAAGAGGACAGCACTCCACATTTCTGGCATTGTAAATGACAACACTGCAACTGAAAGAAAGCTTGAATTTCTGCAAGTAGCTTTAGGATACAGGACTCCTGCTGAGCTCACCAGTTCCTTGCTCTACACAGCTGCTTTCTCAGCTGGGGTTTTGAAATTAGCACTGTGAGAAAAGACAGAAATGACCAGGATGCATCTTCCTCACTACGAGAAAAAGGTAATGTTTAATTAACGTGTCAGCCTTCTGGTTTCCAACTTATTCCTGTATTTGTTTGTATGTGTTGCTTGGGATCTTTTTTTGATGCTCTTGTTTCTTTTCATTTCATGGAATACAATGCCTAGCCAAAAATGTCTTTGTGCTTGTACTTATGTGAGAAGGATTCTGTACTTCTGGGTTCACTGAAATTAACGAGAGCAGTCTGCACATTTATACTCACAAGATATTAACATGGCTCATGCTCACTTAGCTAAGCTTGTGTGTGACATAGTAAAAATGCCATAAGTGAGAGAGCCTGTTTTAAAAATATTTCAACAAATACAGCATCTGACTTGTTGAAAATTCATGTATTTACTTTATCTGTTGCTCTGCTGTAAAATTGTACATGATGTGAACGATGAGTTCTACCTTAAGGCTGGATTGAGTAGTAAGTAAAAAATTAGTCACTTTGAATAAATATTGCTTCAAATCTTCCAGCCATAAAAAATCATATTATCTCCATTTTAACTTGTTACAAATTGTACTTGGATTGCATAGATAAAAATTAATAAAAAACATGATTTTAAAGAATTCTATTCTCTGTAGCTTTATTTAGTTCTGCTTCTTAGAGAAAAACCCAATGGGGTTCTTAATAGTATCCTTTTCATCTCTTTGATAACAGAATTAACTCTTGAACAACACATGGGTTAGGGGCTCCAACCTCTATGTAGTTGAAAATCTGCATGTAACTTTTTACTTCCCCAAAACTTAACTACTAATTGCCTACTGTTGAGTGGAAGCCTTACCAATAACATAAATAGTCAATTAACACGTATTTTGTATGTGTTATGTACCATATCTTATAATAAAGCAAGCTAGAGAAAAGAAAATGTTAAGAAAATCATAAGGAAGAAAAAACATTTTGTATTGATTAATTGGAAGTAGATAAGTATAAAGGTCTTCATCCTCATTGTCTTCATGTTGAGTAGGGTGAGAAGGAGGAGGAAGAGGAGGGGCTGGTCTTGTCTCGGGGTGCAGAGGTGGAAAAAATCCATTTATAAGTGGACATTCACAGCTTGAATTTGTATTGTTTAAGGGCAATGGTTATTTATTTCACTAACCCAGAATGATCTGCATAAAAAGTGCTCCATGTGGTATGCATGTAGGTGTGCATGTATAAATGTATACTTCACTTCGACTTTGCTATTATGAATTACTTCTGTGATTTTCATTAGTTTTCTGGCTGGAAAGTTGAATACTTTAGCACTTGAGTAATGTTCTTAGGAGTAAAGTTTAGAGGTTGGATGTTTATTGGAAACATGTCAACTTGGTTTTATTTTAGTGGTTTAAACTAAAATGTTGATTGCCAACACATCAGTAATCACTCAATATAAAAACTGGTCAGCAATTGATTTAATAAACATTTATTATGTGTCAGTCTTTGGGCTTGGCAAGGAAGACAGAAGATAAGTACGTGGCTCTTACTCTCAAGATCCTTCTAGTTTCATCCTTTGGCTCAATAAGCTGTATTTTGAGGAGGGATCTGATGTTTAACTCTATTGCTGTACAACTTATGTTGCAGTGGGGTTCTGCAGAACTTATTGAATTCCAACTCCAAGTAAAATAATATTTGCCTAGTAGGCAATTGGTCTTAACTGGTTTAAGTTTTACCTACTCATGCTACAACTATTTATTGAATAAGTATGTTGTATCAAGCAGTGCTGTAAACACTACAGATATAGTAGAAATCAAGACAAACAGAACCTCCAACCTCAGGGAGCTTACATCCTAGCAGGGACTGGGGAGGAGGAGGTAGCATGCATTTTCACACTTTTTTATTTAGTAAGACAATGAGGCAAAGGTGCCCTAGAAGTTGAAGCTTCTGACTTGATACTTAGTTAATATGGCCTACTTGCTTTCTATATTGTATGGCACTGACCCAATGGAAAAGGAAGAGCTTCTACAATACTTGTAAGTAATTTCCTAATACTTGCAAGTGATTTTAAAGTCAAACAGCAAACAACTTGAAATAATATAATCCTTCCAAATTATGTGTTAAGAATAGTATACAAAAAACATTTACAATATTCATACAAGGTAGTGATTTTAAGTTTTGAGCATTCAGAAGTGGTTAAAATTTCTTAGTAATAGTTTACCTGGAGCTTTCCCTTGACTGACAACTGGCAAAACTCACAGGTTCTTAATGCCTGCTGAAACTGCCGTCCACTCTCTGTGGGTCTGCTTTGGTTACTAGTGACAATGTCCACAACAAAAGGAACTTGAAAAACATTTATATGTGGCTTATATTGCCTCTCTTTTCATTTTGAATAATTCATTTTTCCTGTTTTAAGATTGCAGTGGAATACATGTTTTCTATTTTCTTTCTCGATCTCTTATTTGGTTTCTTTCTTGATTTGTTTCTGTTTACTCTGTCTATTTTCACATAAGCATCTAATATTTTCAGCTCATACTAAAGTATTTTAAACCAATTTCTCCATTATCATTTCTGCCATAACAGTTGTATAATCCTAAGTTCTTTTTTTTTTTTTTTTTTTTTGATAGAGACTGGGTTTCACCATATTGGCCAGGCTGGTCTTGAACTCCTGATCTCGTGATCCACCCATCTCGGCCTCCCAAAGTGCTGGGATTACAGGCGTGAGCCACCGTGCCCGGCAGTAAAAACCTAAGTTCTTATGTCCTCAGTCTCTTTTGCAGTGAGAGCAGCCATATGCTTTAGTTCTGGAAACTAAAACATGGCATGAACTTGCTAAGAGCTCTAGAAAGGATTTTGTATCTCCTTATGTAAGGACATGTTATAAGGCATTACCTGATATAATCCCTGACATGGCTCCTTCTCTCTTCTTTCTTGAAGTCAGACTGGAATGCTGAAAGCTACTGCAGTCATCTTGTAACCAGGAAGCAAACATGAGAAATCCCGAGAGAATTTCAGAAACTGTCAAACCACGGAACCAATGCTAGCTGCTTCCTTCAAGACTACTTGTTATGCCAGAAAAATTATCCAATATTTATTAAGCCACCCACTCTATATAGTGTTTCCTGTTATTTTCAGCTGGAAGCGTTCCTAATGGATGATGCTATACACATAACATGCATAAACAATTGTTAGTAATTACCGAAAGCTGAGCATTAAGGTATAAATTAAAACATGACAATGAAGGCAAAATGCAATTTTTATCTTGAAGAAAATTATGGTGAACATTTTTTATGTTAAGCCAATACAAATCGAAAGCTCTTCTGATATTAGCTGAAGGTCTGCAACTAATCTGGACTGGTATGTTTCTGACTGATTCTTGGCATTTGTTTTCTCATATATAAAACAAGGGATTGAATTATTTCCCAGGTCTATTGCAGATGTAAATTTCCAAGTTTGTTAATATAAAATGTATTTTAAATCCATGGACTTATAACACTACCTGCCGAATGGTATTTTAACATTTGTATTCCATGGATACTTTGGATGTAAAAGAAGCTTTTGCACATTTCCTGTTTATGCTCAGGATTCTGTGCATACTACATTGAAAAAACTCAGCTATGAGTTTGAGCATTTTGATATGCCATTGTAAAATTTAATTTACGTAGCATTCTAAAAGTCTAACTTATTTATTTACCTACTGAACTTAGTATAAATAGAATACCTGGAAATACTTTTTTAGAAGAATTTTTCCCAAGAAAATCCTATACAACTTCAGTACTTTTTTTTCCTTTTTATGAGCACACAATTCAGACAAAAATAATTACATTAACACAGAGGTATGGCTGATGCACTAGGGTTTCCAGCGCTTTTGTGATATGACTGCACCATTGTATGAAATTGCTAGAAAGAATAAACAACATGAATTTCAGTCTGTTATATGTTCCCATCTTCTTTTGCAATAGCAAGGGGTTATGTGTACTGACCAAGTGACAGTTGCTTCAACCAAGCCTTGTTTTTTTTTTTTTTTTTTTTCTGGCCATGATATGTTGATGCTTAATTCTAACTTGTGATTTGGCTGATATTGGAAACAGATATACAAAGAAGCCATCAATACTGGAACTAGAAATGGAGTAAAATATAAAAGAGAGAATTGATAGCAGCACAAAAATTTAAGACAAATTAAAAAAAAAGCCAAAAAGAAGAAAGAATGGTGTGTGTGTGTGTGTGTGTGTGTAGGCAGACATGTGGAGTAATTAGGCAGGGAGAATAAAGTACATCAGTGTAGAGGTTGTGTCCTTTTTATGGAATGAGGAAGTTATTTCTGGACAATTATCATTACTTCTTGTTTTCCAGAGTAATATGCAGTCCACGAGCTGGAGAGCCAATCTGGTACTTAGAAAGGAAAGATTCTTGCTTTCTTGAAGCAACATAGCATCTCAAGGTGGTGCTTGAGTACCACAAAAACAGAGATGCATGTTCTCTACATGCCGGAAGCAGTCATCCTGTTGCTAAGGAAACAGCCTCACTCAGCAAGGGTCACCTTTGGAAACAACTGCAAGACTTCAAAGCAGATTAATAGAGAAATACCAAGACCCGAACTTCCTAGCTAATGTTGTCTTCTATTTTAAATACCCTTTTCAACAAAGGTTTGCTTATGTGATTTCTGTTTGGTGGGCAGTAGCAAGGCAAAATTGAATATGTAGTAAGTCGAGCCCAGTATCTTTCAAGCTCTGGCTCTTGGAGATCTGTGGCTTTTGGTAGACGCTTTGAGTGTGGGATTGTGCAGGAACAGCAGGATGGAGACGGACTGACATCAGGTTTACAAAGAGACGCTGAATTTATGACTTTGTTTGAGGGAAAGCTTCCACTCATTAAAAGATGTAGCGTCTTTACTCATACAAGCATATGCCGTTACTCATTTGTCCACATTGGTGAGATTTTCTAATTTGTGAAAAGTCTTGTCATATCTTAGGTTTATGCACATTTTTGTATTACTGAAGCGGATTTCATTCATGCATCCATTTATTCATTTATTTGTGACATATCTTTGATTTCCTACCATTTCAGGTACCCTGGGGATAAGAAGTGAATAGAACATATTTAAGGTCTGGGGGACTCAATCTGAAGAAGAAAGCAGATATGGAAACAAAACAGTGGAATCACTTGCAGAGGGGACACAAGGAGATGCTTATAATTTTGTCCTGGGGAGGTGAGGGAAGGCATTTGGGGAAAGAAAATGCCTGATCTCATCCTTGAAGGATGGATTAGAATTGAACAGGGAATCTGGTCCTTGAAGTCCCAAGACAGAGACAACAGCAAATACTAAGTGCAGAGATGTGAGGAAGAGATTTCATTGGGCTTCTGTTGGTGAAGTTTAGGACATATTACGAAATGCGTTTGGACAGGAGACCAGAAAATGAAACTGGGACTGGATCATAAAAGCTCTTACTTAATATAAAAATAAGTATATACTTTACTGCTAGTTTTTCAGATTTTTTTTAAGTTTAATGTTACAATAAATAGAGCCTATCTTGGTAGAATTCCTCCCTTACCTCTTTGACAATATAAAATTTGTTACAGATGCCTAAATGCTTTCAGATGGCTTAAAGAACTGGAATTTCAGTGGCTATTTATCATCTAAAGCAAGAACTGTAAAATTTAATGATAAATTCTTGCTATTAATACTCATTAAAATATTTGATTTATTAAAAGGTGAATGATGGATTTTTATAACTGAGATTAGGACAATTTCTACTTCCAAGATAACTAGTAAAATTAAGATGTTGGTTTCAACCATTTCTTGAAATTATATACCTTTTTATTGGTAGAAAATTCAAGTGACAAATACAGATAACTGTTCTGTCACCTAAAGTGTTATAAGCCACACTGAAATGCACCTGGTTAACTCCTCCTTTATAAGGGATAAGAATGAAACTTGTGTACAAGAAAATGTGGTGGGCACCCATGTTTGGGAGCTAGAGCTTGTTGACATCATCTAAGGTAGCCACCTGTTCTAGCCTGCATTTGCTGAATAAATTAGATGCTCTTGGGAGAGTGTATGCAGCTGACTGGGTTGCCTTGTTACCAAGGCAACAGTTTTTCTTCTGCTCTATGACTCTGAAAGGTTTCATAACTCATTAGTGCTCCTCTGGGCATCAACATGGCAAAATTCCTTTTTTTTTCTTGTCTTTGTTAAGTTCCTGGTCACGATGATGAGATTAGTGACAACTAATAAATACTCTTACCATATTTGTTTACTCATATAGAATATTTTCCAAATGTATGAAAAACTTAGGTCTAAACCTTAAAGGCACAAATGTGACAATTCGATGGAGGGATGTGTACAATAATGAATAAAAAAAGGAAAATATTTTCAATTTCAGATATTTTCAGAAATCAAAAACATTTTCAAAGCGGAGTTTATCTAAGGCAAAATATTTAAAAACATAGATTCTCTAAGACAGTGGATGAAAGCTTGTTTTTATAGTTATTCCAGCTGTTATTGCTATCAGGCCTTTTTACTCAGTCTGATATAGCACAAGAAAGAGCACAATTTAGCAAAGCTGTTATCAGATCCATAAAACCAGAAATTCAGGGGCTAAGTGATCATTTTCAGAATGCCACAGGGCCCAAGGAGTCGTGGAGGGATGGCCGAGCCTACATGATGGGAGCACCATCAGAAATCCATGCTGGTTTTTAATCCCCAGGTGACATTTAGACCCTAGGATATTTGTTTTCTTCTATTTTGTGATCCATGTTTGTTGTCTTTCCTCTTCTCCTTTATATGTTGTCTTTTTTTTTTTTTTTTTTTTTTTTTGAGACAGAGTCTCACTCTGTTGCCAGGCGCCAGGCTGGAGTGCAGTGGCACAATCTCGGCTCACTGCAACCTCCACCTCCCTCAGGCAATTCTCCTGCCTCAGCCTCCTGAATAGCTGGGACTACAGGCACACTCCGCCACGCAAAGCTAATTTTTATATTTTTAGTAGAGACAGGGTTTCACCATGTTGGCCAGGATGGTCTCTATCTCTTGATCTCGTGATCTGCCTGCCTTGGCCTCCCAAAGTGCTGGGATTACAGGCTTAAGCCACCGCACCCGGCCATATGTTGTCTTTTTTGATTTCACATCTTCATGCATTAGAAGAAATCAGTAAGCTTCCCACGCTGGTAAATTTCTTAAATAGTTACCTTATACTAGGAATTCTACATGTTATCTCACTTGTGTCATTTCTCATATTAACTTGACGAGGTGGATATCATTTACCTCATTTTACAAGTGAGAAGACTGAGGCTGAAGGTAGCAGAGCTGGTGTTTAGATTGAGTTGTAGCTCATTTCAAAGCCGTATTTTCCCACTATGCTGTGGTATCTCTAAAGTTCTGTAATAATGATGTATATAACCTTTCAGAATATTTGAATATTAGAAAGAAAAGAAAACAGATGATATATTCAAACGTTAAAATTAAGCCTCTAAGAGGGCTCTTGTTCTACAGGAAGAATGCAACTCCAAGGCTCTGCCAAATTCACTGTAGTGCTGAAGCTTTTGTACAGATTTATTATGGGGAATAGCTTTATCATACATGGCAATTTCTTTGACACTGCTTTGTATTATCCTTCTATAAGTACTAGAGAAACTGATTGAAACTGAATCTTAAACTCCCATTTTGTACCAATCTTACTTGTTGTTTGCAATTGAAGAATAGCATCCTGCTGATATCCACTGCAGGACTGCAAGGACCTCTGGTAGAGATTAAGCTCACGTTTTGATTGTAGACAAAATTTAGTGCAATTAGATTTACCATAATTTCTTATTTTCTACTGATTTTACAACCTGAGATTTCAAAGATGGAATCGATATTTTCAAATAAATAGTTCATTGATAGATACAGGGATGTTTTAAGATATGACCACACCATGAATAGACAGTTTTTAAAGAGTACAGTTAGTGTCCAATAAAGCAGTGCAAATATTTTTCATGGTGTGAAGGCAGGGGGATTATTATTATTATTTTTTGTTGTTAAGTACATTGTGATTGATACCTGCTGTAAAGATTAACACTTCACTAGACATCATAAACATGCAGGAGGAGCACAAAGATGTGATTCTCCTAGAATGCAGAGATTTGACAAAAAAAGAAAACACATACTTCTGTTTGCTACAAGCATGATGAATTTGCTTTTATTCTCTCCTATTTCCAGAATCAATGTAATGTCTGAAAGTCACTCAGAAGAATATGGCAATTATTTGCAATCTGAAAAATAATGTTATGCAAAGGCATTCCATCTGCATTTTGAGAGACACCTTTATTTTCATTATTTGCTTCTGCCATTCTCTTCAACATTTATCTAGATTAGATTAAAATACTACTTTTGTGCTCCGAATAGTGTTCTGATGTCCTTGTTTATTCAGTGTGCTTTCAGCCACTATTTATGGTCTTCCTTGTATGAGGTACTCTGCTAAGTGCTGGGCACCCAGAGATGAACATGCAGTCTCTCTGTACCACGAGCTCAGCTTTGTGGAGGAGACTTACAAGGCAGCCAGTGGTCTCCGTAGGTTAAGTCCTGTCATGGAGTATAATGCACTTGTGGGTTGAAGGATCTATTCGAAAGTATTTTCAGTGGAGAGATTCTTCCAGCATCTACTCACACTCAGTTTCAATCACCTCAGTGCTTTGTACGACAGACCATTGTCCCTATCACTTGCCCAAACATGCCCTGCCCTCAAATAATGGCACTCCCCCTGGATGTCTGCTAATCTCTGTTGAGTATTTCTGCAATACCTATGATAAAGTTGCATGATGACCACCAGAGGCCACAGCACCAACCAGGAGGTGGCCAGTTTACAGGCATGAAGTCTGCAGGCACTTCCCACCAACATTGGAAAGCCACATATTGTTCAGGCCAGGATTTATTCTGTCGTTGTTTTAAATCTAAATTTTAAGCACTTCTCTGCTTTCACAGAAATCATATTAAACATATTGATCTCTAACTTGATTCGTTCTCAAATAATTTGAAGACCCTTTGTTGTACTCAGGTCACAAAAGATATTCGGTGGCGGATCTTGGACCATCCAAACCGGTCCTCCAGAGGGAAGCAACCAAGGCTGTTCTGGGGAGGCCAGAGCAGCAATTCATTAAGTCATTTCCATGGTGGACTCTGAATTATTTCCATGATGCCTCTTGCCTCTGGTTGTCCCTGCTCTACTTTATTCATTCCTAAGAGGGAGAATTTTTATCTAGCTTGGATCACATGTCTCTACACTAGACTCAGTCAACCATGGCCAAAGAAACTGGTAGAAGTGACCACTGGAAGAGTCACTATGACCTTTCCAGCCTCCTCAGCTTGTGTTCTGCAATTACACTGGCCTTTCCGTCATTTCCTTGGAAGGAGCCAATTTCTAAACAAAAGCAACTCGCCGGCATTGACTTTCAATTTATCGTCTCAAGTTTGAACTACTAGGCAAGACCTGTTTTTTGAACTTTATTTCTTCTTGCTTCATGTTATCAGGATCACTCTTTTTTTGGTGTGTATATATATATATACACACACACCCCCCCACCCCCCCACACATATACATATTTTTGTGTATATATACACACACATATATATAGTGATCCTGATAACATGAAGGATATGTGTATAAAATATATATAAATAGAGACAGGATCTCACTCTCACTGTATTGCCCAGCCTGGTTTTGAACTCATGAGCTCAAGCAATCCTCCTGCCTATTTGTATATCTATTTATATATATATTTATAAATATATGTTATCTACCTATTTATAAATATTTACATATTATGTATAATATTTATATATCTATAAATACACATTATATATAATATTTATGTATCTATTTTGTTATATATTTATACATAGAGACAGGATCTCACTCTCACTATGTTGCACAGCCTGGTTTTGAACTCATGAGCTCAAGCAATCCTCCTGCCTCGGCTTCTCAAAGCACTGGGATTACAGGCATGCACTATCAAGCACAGCTCCAGGACCACCATTAACTTCTATCATTTTTTTTCTTCATGAGTAATATGTTTGGCCATAAACTTCCATGTGGCTTTACTGATCTTGATTTTATTCGAAAACGATTCCTGTCTTCCACATGATTACTTACCCTCCAGCTTCCTATATGGTGACTCTCCTACTACGGAGTTGACTTCTGTGTGAGGAATTCTTAGCTAATTTTCCATTGGCTCTGG